TTTTAATATTTTATTTTCCTCCAATTACATTTAAAAACAGTTTTTAACATTCTTGGTTTGTTTTTTTTTTTAAGTTTTGAGTCCCACTAATGCATTGTTGGTGGAATTGTGAACTGATTCAACCATTCTGGAAAGCAATTTGGAACTATGCCCAAAGGGCTATAAAACTGCATACCCTTTTGACCTAGTAATACCACTACTAAGTCTGTTTCCCAAAGAGATCATAAAAAAGGGAAAAGGACCTACATGTACAAAAATATTTATAGCAGCTCTTTTTGTGGTGGCAAAGAATCAGAAATTGAGGGGATGTCCAACAGTTAGAGAATGGCCGAACAAGTTGTGGTAAGTGAATTTAATGGAATACTATTGGGCTATAAGAAATTATGAGCAGGGAGATTTCAGAAAAACCTGGAAAGACTTACATGAACTAATGCTAAGTGATGTGAGCAGAACCAGGAGAACATTGTACACAGTAACAACCACATTGTGCAATGATCAACCTTGATAGACTTGGCTTTTCTCAGTAATACAATGATCTAACGCAACTCCAAAGGGCTCATGTTAAAAAATGCTATCCACATCCAGAGAAAGAACTATGGAGTCTGAATGCAGATCAAAGCATACTATTTTCACTTTTTTTCTTTCTCATGTTTTTCCCCTTTTGTTCTGATTCTCATTCCACAACATGACTAATGTGGAAATATTTTTTAAAAAATTTGAATTCCAAATTCTATCCCTCCTTCCTTTCCTTCCCCCTCTTCCTGAGACAATAAGCAATCTGATATCGGTTATACATGTGCAATCATGTAAAAACATGTCCATATTAGTTATTTTGTGCAAGAACACTCAAAGAAGAAAGAATGGAAGGAAGGAAGAAAGAAAGAAAGGAAGGAGGGAAGGAAGGAAGGAAAGAAAAAAAGAGTGAAGGAAAGAGTATGCTTCAATCTGTATTCAGACAATATCAGAATTGTCTATTTGGAGGCAGATAGCATTTTTCATCATAAGTTCTTTGGGATTGTCTTGGATCATTGCATTGCTGAGAATAGTTAAGTCATTCACAGTTGTTCAGTATACAGAGTTGCTATTACTGTGTACAATGTTATCCTGGTTTTGGTCACTTTACTTTGTATACTTCATGTAAGTCTTTCCAGGTTTTTGTGAAATGATCCTGCTTGTCATTTCTCATAGCACAATAATATTCCATTACAATCACATACTTGTTTAGCCATTCCCCAATTGATGGGCATCCCCTCAATTTCCATTCTTAGCTACCATAAAAAAGGGTGGCTATAAATATTCTTGCACAAATAGGTCTTTTTCCTATTTTTTTTTTTTGTTTCTTTGCGATACAGACCTCAAAGTGATATTGCTGGATCAAAGGGTATGCACAGCTTTATAGCCCTTCAGGAATAAGAACTCAAAATGTAAAGAAAAAATGAATGTTAAAAATTATTTTTACATGTAATTGAGAAAAAAGAAATTTTTAAAAAGAAAATAAAAAAAAAAAGAATGAGCTTTCTTGTCTTGGAAGATAGCTTTTAATCCCTTTTCTGCTGGTGGACCCTTCACAAGGAGAATAGAGACTCCTTCAAATTTTAACCATCACTTCTTGTGATGGTTCTTTTAAGAGAACTCAGTGATCCAAGTCTTGAGTCTCCATCTCGTCCCAGTCCTCCCTCCTGCTCTCTGATGTGGAGCTGAAAACCCAGATTCCCCACAAGCTTCTCCCTCACAGGGAATCCTCCCAGATTCTCACTCACAGGGTCTTGGCCATCTGATCTTCCTGGTACTTAGTTCTCCCTAGGTATGAGGAGAAGCTGCTTTGTATGGGAAGAATATTGGAGTAGGAATTTGGAGAGTTAGGTTCAAATACTGGCTCTTCCACCTATTACCTGTGGGGATTTGGGGGCAATTCACTTCACCTCTCTTTGCCTCAGTTTCCTCATTTGTAAAATGATTTTTATATTCTCTTTCCTCAGAGTGGTTATAAACCCTCCAATACTATCAGAATGTTAGCTATGATGATGATGATGATGATTGTCAGGGTAGGGAGGACTGAGAACTGCTTTTGCTTTTTAACCATGCCTCACATCAAGAAGGAACTGAGTTCCCAAGGTTATTATATGTAAGAGGAATTTTCCCCTTTTTTTAATTTAAAAAATTATTTTCAGTTCTGAATTCTCACCCTGCCCCTAGCTCCTTCCCCATCTATCGAGGAAAGAGATATGATACCCATCATACATATGGAGTCATACAAAACATATTTCCACATTAGCCATGTTGTGAAAAAGAAAAAAGCAAGAAAAAGAAAGTAAAAGAAAAATAGAGTAAGAGAAAACATGCTTCAGTCCTCACTCAGACTTCATCAGTTCTCTCTCTGGAGGTGGATGGCATTTTTCATCATGAGTCCTTTGGAATTGTTATGGATCATTGTATTGATTAGAATAGTTAAGGCTTTCACAGTTGCTCATCGTTACAATATTGCTGTTACTCTGTACAATGTTCTCCTGATTCTGCTAAGAAGAATTTTTTTCAATTCAAGTTATATTCCTCCTTATTTCTCTCCCTTTGTACCTATTCCCCCACCTGTAGTCTTACATTCTGGCCTTAGAGAATAGCTTTCTTTCATCCAGATTGGTGAGATAGTATGGCACATTGGAAAGAGGGCTGGATTTTCAATCAAAGGGGCCTGAATAAAATTATAGTTCTGTTACTATCTGTGTGACCCTCAGTTTCCTCAGCTGTAAAAAGAGGGAGTTCAACTATTTGATCTTTCAGGTTTTTCAGTTGTAAGTCTATGATCCTGATATTCTTTAGTGAAAAGTAGTTTCCACCCTTGTGCCTTTAAGGTTCTCTTTCCCCTCTTAACTGCTCAGTCCTTAACTTAGAGGCACTAGGAACACCCTGGACCATTGTAAATCAAATAATTCTCTTTAGTAATGTGAATAATATTCATAAAGTGAATAGTTAACTTAGTTTGGCATTTCAATATTAAGACTTCCCAAAGCAAAGCACAATTGTATGTGGGATGACCTCATTCCCCAGTCAGCTTCCTTCACAAACTTCCCATCAAGTCTATACAAGGCTTTGGCTCAGTACCATGCTCATTTAAAATTTCTAGGGGGATCTTCTGTTCCTTTATTGCAGCATGCCTTTGTGTCATCCTTTCCCCTTTCTCTGCCTAGAGCCAGAGCTAGTAGACCATCTAGTCTGATATCATTTTACAAAGGAGGAAACTGAGCTCTCAAGGATTCCTTACTCACTAGCCCCTTTCTCTGACCATATCTTTTTTTTTTTTTTTTTGGTGAGACAATCGGGGTTAAGTGACTTGCCCAAGGTCACACAGCCAGTAAGTGTCAAGTATCTGAGATTGGATTTGAACTCAGGTCCTCCTGACTCCAAGGCCAGAGCTCTATCCACTGCACCACCTACCTGCCCCCATATCTCTGACCATATCTTTTCCCAAAAGCATTCCTCTAGGCTCTATTCTTCACCTGGAATTTTCTACCTCTGCCTAATATAGTCTTAGTTATAGAACATAGAACCCCAGAGTATGGGACCTTAGAGATCCAATCTGCTGGTCAGAGACACCAGCTCTTAAAAATATCTTCTTTATTTGTTCTGACTCTATCATTTCATATTCTACCTTTCATTCCAGCAACTTAGGAAATTTCTCCTCTTCTAAGAAGTCTTTGCAGAAAATATAGGATGGGGGCAGCTAGGTGGCATAGTGAATAGAGCAGTGGCCCTGGAGTCAGGAGGACCTGAGTTCAAATCTGGCCTCAGACACATAACACTCATTAGCTGTGTGACCCTGGGCAAGTCACTTAACCTCAATTGCCCTCACAAAAAAACATAGGATGATAGATTTAGAACTGGCAGGGACCTTGGAGGTCATCTAACCCAAACTTTTTTTTTTTTAAATACAGATGAAGGATTCAAGGTCCAAAGGTTAAGGCATTTGACCAAGGTCAGACAGAAAGTAGTGGTGTAAGGGTTTGAACCAAGGTCCCCTGATTCCAAATTCAATGTTCTTTTCACTACTGAGAAGAGAGGTATAGCATATTCTCTCCTTATATAATGTGGCAAAAATTTTCTAATATGAACTGATTAAGTCTCTGTTAGTACAGAAGCATAATATCAGTTTTTCTTTTGTTCGTTTAGCTGGTGGGATAGGATAGAAAATGTTGGACTGATGAGCAGTGCTAGTTATTTCATTTGGGCTAGCCCCTCCCCACCATTATTTGGGTGGTGCCATTCTTTCCCAGAGCCTTCTTTCAAGTGTAATTTTCTCTCTAGTCCAGACTTTCAACTCTGCTCCTGGGGAAATGGTTTTCAAATCTGTATCGGAGGAAAAACTGGAATGAGGTGCCTGTGGTTACAGCTTCCAGAAGGGCTACTCCAGCTCAATTATATAACTGCCTTTACCAGGACTGCTAACTCATATATGTCTAGATATTGGTCTGGATTTTCTGTCTTTGGGAAACCACAAACATATAAATCAATAAAATCTCTTTCATTCACTGCGTCCCCAGTTTAGCCAGGAAATTTCGAGTCATATTAAGATCTATCTCTTTTCCTATGTATCTCACCATCCAATGCCACCCTCTGGACTTCATTTGCCCCAAGGACACAGACACACAAATCAATAATTCAGTGAATTTATTATCTCAGAGAAACGAGTTGGTTTTTTTTTTCAAACAAATGGTGAAATAAAAAGCAACCCAAAGTCTTGAAGAACAAATTAGGAAGCAAGCTCATCTCTCCCTTGAGAGGTTGAGAGGGTGGAATGGGAGAGTAAAAATCATCAGTTCTATCTCAGCAGCAAAGTGGATAGGGCAATCTGTGTTTGTTCTTTGTGGCTTCTGCTCAGCCCTGGTCATATTCCCCTTTGTATCAGTGTTAAAGCCTCCTTTTCTCCATCCCTGGACCACCACCTCTCTGCTGCTGTGATGCTTAAGGGAAGCCGCTCTGCTTGCCTGCCCCAGCAGTGGCACCAGGTCCAGCTCAGGGTGGTGATGGCTTTGGTGAGACAGTCTGGCAGTCTAAGACTCCAGCCTTCTCCTTGCTAGGCTCTCATCCTCGCACTTTTCTCACATCTTACCTCTCCCAGGCTTCTGCTCCCCTAACCGCTTAGGATGGGAGATACACTAGCTTTTTAGACCCTATCTCATCCCATTCAGTCTCTGGGTCAGGGCATGCTGGATATTTTTTGTCCTGACTAGCAGGTGTCTATCCTGGTCCCACTCCCACTCCTTGACAGTTCCTGAAGGGTGCTATATTCCATTATGTATTTAGTTAATCTTCTGCTCTTTCGTGTGTGCCTTATATGAATCTATCCGTGTCTGTGTATTTATTCCATGCTGGGGACTTCTTAAAAGTTGAAGCTCTATGAGTGCTCCTGGTGCGATGGAAGAGACTTGGGCCCTGACCTCAGAGAGCTTGAAGTCTGATGGGGCACATAAACTTCTCAAGTATGAGAAATTAGAGTTGACTTCCCAGGAGATGCAGCCAAGTTGAGTACAACATTTACATAATTGACCATAGAGATAAACATTAGGTGGGGAAACATTTGCTACCTCCTATATTTCATTCAGGAGGGCTTCATAGAGGATGTTGATCCTGACTAGGACTTTAAAAGGGAGGAGTGATTAGTCTGGCGGCTGGAAATGGAGATTGTTCCAACTATAGGGAACAATATCATCAGACCATTTGTATTCACATAAGGTAAAGATGAGGCAGTCATGTACTTAGAATACCCATCCGTCAGCCTCCCTCTAATAGGCTCAAAGTTCTTCCCTTGTTTGGTCAAGATCCAGCAACATCTTCATCTGGTAGGGGCAGGAGGGAAGGAATTTCTGCTAGGTTGGATCCCAAAGTCAGTACTGTTTGTGGCTGTGATCCCCAGAGCCCGGAGGTGGCTACAGGTCATTAGCACATCAAATATAAGCAGCTTGAAGAGGATGAGCCGAATGGCCCCCAGGATCAATGTCTGCAAGAGGCTGTGTGGTCCTGGCGAAGAAACAAGAAGGTCAAGAGGTGCCTGGGGTAAAGCAGTTTGGAAATATGCTTCCCAAATTATTAAACTGTGAATATCTTTTCTCTCACTGATACCAATACTAAGTCTATGCAACAAAGAGATCAGAGAAAGAGGAAAAGGACCCGAATGTACAAAAATATTTATAACAATTTTTTTTGTGGTGGCAAAAACCAGGAAATGAATGGGGTGCCCATATGTTGGGAAATGGTTGAATGTAATAGAATATTATTATGTTATAATTAAGGATGAAAGTGACAGTTTCAGAGAAACTTGTGAAGACTTGTATGAATTGATGCAGAGTGAAATGAGCAGAACCAGGAGGACAATTTATTTAATAACAACATTAGAAAGACAAGCAGCTAGGTGGTGCAGTGGATAGAGTCCTGGGCATGGAGTCAGGAAGACCCTGAGTTCAAATCCAGCCTCAGACGCTTACTAGTTGTGTGACCCTGAGCAAGTTCTTAACCCTGTTTGTCTTGGTTCCTCATCTATAAAATGAACTGGAGAAAGAAATGGCAAACCACTCCAATATCTTTGCCAAGAAAACCCCAAATGGAGTCACAAAGAGTTGGACAAAACTGAAAAATAACTGAATAACAAAGACTTTGAAAGACTTAGGAACTCTGACCAATGCAGTGAGAGGGATGGAGAGGATTCTTTCCCATTTTACATGTAAGAAAATTGATTTTTGATTCAACCCCCAGCCCATAAAGCCCAGAATATAATAACAAGTTGTTAAACTATCTGTAAAGAAGTATTTATATTATGATCCCTTTGGGATATGGGAATATATTTCTTTGAGTGAACTAAAGGGATAAACCTTATTGAACAAGCAGGATTTTAAATAGCTAAAGAACAAAGCTTCAGTTCCCAGGGAGTCAAGGCTCAGATAGCTTTGTGAAGAGACTGTTTTGTAGAGGTTTCTGTCCTCTTTTCCCCTCTTCTCTCCATAGTCATGGCATCTAACAGTGACTTGCCCAGAGGGAAATACCTTATCTAGCAGGTCAAGAGTTGGTTGGTTTAGGAGAATGTGAAGTACAATTAAGGAAACAGAGACGCACACTCCAGACAGACATGAATACAGAGGGAAGAAGCAGCTTCAAGGAAAGGGCTCCTTGGCAGCAGAGAATAGAGCTGGCTATATAGAGGATCGATCTTGGGAACCCAGCCTGAGGACATTATAAATTACAGAGACAAAGGACTTCCAGGCCCTGAAGTATCATGAATTTTAAGTTATTTTTGCCCCAAGTGTGGCTCAATACCACCGTACTCAAAGGTTGAGCTCACTCTTCCCAAGGATGCTGTGAATAGTTGAGGAAACATGTACTCCAGATCTATATGGGAAATGTTGCGTAGGTACTGGTTCACTATTCAATCTGAATAAAAGCTTCTGCTAAGAGCTAATTGTTTCTACTGTCTGCTTATTAATAGGAAGCATGCAGGTTGATGTTTGTAAGTTATATCAGTAGTAGGGTGGCCCTACAGCTTACACCTTTGAACACTGAAGTAGTTAGTAGTCAATTTCTGGACCTCCAACCCTCAAATCAGGTTAGGAGAGTAGTCCAGAGGGGATGCTATGTATAGATGGGCCAACTGAACCAGCCCAGATGGGGTCAGTGCTTTGCCCCAGGGTTACCCAGTGAGTCAGTATGGTCTAAGTCTGTCTCCGATGAGGATCCATAAATGGTCAAAGCTGATTACCACCACCCAAAGCACTTTGGTTTCAATAGGACACAAGAATTCTGGCCTCCAAACTAGCCTTCTTATCACTCACCAGTGGTTGGCTGCTGCTGGCACTTCTCTCCCATGGGCTTACCTGCCAAAACCAAATTAAAAGGGTTGAATCCTTGGGAACCTCATTGCATTCAGCTAGACTATAAGCTTTTTGAGGACAGGGACTATGTCATATTTCTTTATATCAGCAGCATAGTATAGTAGAAAGTACCTTGGATTTAGAGTCAGAGGACTTGGGTTCGAATCCCTACTCTTCCATATATAACCTATGGGACCTTAGACAAATTATTTAACCTTTCTATGTCCCAGCTCCCTCATTTTAGCTAGTCTAAATGGCCTCCAAGCCCTTTTCTAGCCATGAACCTTGTGACCTTTGGTAAGTTCTTATGAACAAACAGTTATTATTCTTATGCTGCAGATAAGGTGCCTGAAGCATAATAAACATTTGTTGAAGGCAAAATTCCCGCTATGAATGAGGATTCACTTGCTCAGTTTTCCCTTCTCTCAAGACTTTCCCTTGGCCTCTCTTGCATCCATAGTAGCACTTTAAGCTTTTAACTTTTTTCCCCCCCAAGTATTTTCACATGTCATCTAATGCAAACAACAGCTCTGTGAAAGAGACATTGTAGGTATTATTTCCATTTGACAGATGGAGCATCTTAGGTTCAGGAAAGAAAACTGACTTGTTTAAGGTCAAATAGCAAGTTAATTCTGGCTAATCTAGACTAGAATCAGCTTGGAAATCCTAACTAATTCATCCAAACTGAAGTCTGGAGCTTTCCCTGACTTCCTTCATCTGGTTTTTTTGGAAGACTGGGGTCAAGGGAGGGAGGGAGAATACCAGGAGATAAGGAACTACAGAATGTTTAAACTCTAAGGTCCATCAGGACAGGTCCTTGTCTTCATACAGAGTCTAACCCTGGGGAATGATGCTGCTCCCTTAGACCCATACCAGATAGCTGAAGAGGACGGGTACGTGGGCTCTGATCCTGCCAGCCTGGCCCTGTGTGGCAGACTAGAGGTTCCCAGGAAGCCAGCTCCTCAACAGGGAGGGAAAGCTGGGCTAGGCTGCTCCAGGTGCCATCTCCAGCTGGCAAGGGTCCATAAGTGAAGGCATCCAAGGCGGTGCCGTTGCCAGATGAGAACCAGACGGAGCCATCCACAAATGAAGGAGAGACATCAAAAACCAGGCAGATCACCAGCGTCTTCTGTTTCCCATCTACCAACAGGGTGAGTGGGGGAGCCATTGATGGGAAAGGAGCAGTACACACACCTGGTGGAGGACAAACATGTGTAAGGTGGCATTGACTTGGAAAACCTGAGTTCAAATCCTATTTCTTTTTTTTTTTAAATAATTTATTTATTTTTTGTTTTCAACATTCACTTCCATAAGATTCTGAGTTTTAAATTTTCTTTCCCTCCCTTTCCTCTCCCCTCCTCAAGACAGCATGTAATCTGATATAGGCTCTACTTATACATTCATATTAAGCATATTTTCACATTAGTCATGATGTAAAGAATTAGAACTGATGGGAGGAACCATGAGAATGAAGCAATAAAACAAAACAATTAAAAAAAAAGGAGAGCAAATAGTATGTTCCATATGAACTCAGACTCCATAGGCTTTTCTGGATATGTTTAGCATTTTCCATCATGAGTCTTTTGGAGTTGTCTTAGATCCTTACATTGCTGAAAAGAGCCAAGTCTATCAAAGTCAGTCATTGAACAATGTGGCTGGTGCTGTGTATAATGTTCTCCTGGTTCTGTTTACTTCATTTCTTGATGGACATCCACTCAATTTCCAATTCTTGACCACCACAAAAAGAGCTACGATAAATATTTTTGTACATGTGGGTCCTTTTCCCATTTTTATGATCTCCTTGGGATACGGCCCTAAAAGTGGTATTGCTGGGTCAAAGGGTATGCATAATTTTATAACCCTTTGGGCAGAGTTCCAAATTGCTGTCCAGAATGGTTGGATCAATTTACAACTCCACCATCAATGCATTAGTGTTTCAATTTTCCCACCTCTTCTCCAATACTTATCATTTTCTTGTTTTGTCATGTTAGCCAATCTGATAGGCATGATGTGGTACCTCAAAGTCATTTTGATTTTCATTTGTCTAATCAATAGTGATTTAGAGCATTTTTTCATGTGACTATAAATAACTTTAATTTTTTCCTCTGAAAACTGCCTGTTCATATCCTTTGACCATTTATCATTTGGGAAGTGACCTGTATTCTTATAAATTTGACTCAGTTCTCTATATGTTTTAGAAATGAAGCCTTTATCAGAGATACTGGTTGTAAAAATTCTTTCCCTGTGTAAACCTTAAAACTCAATATAAATGCTAACTATTGCTATTAATTTAGGGAGTTGGGCTGTATAATCTCTAAGGTTCTTCCCACCTGTGGCATTTAATGTCTTGTGTTCTAACATTCCATATTCTAAGGTCCCTTTCAGCTCTGACATTCTGTGCTATATGTTCTAAGGCCTATCTTCTGTGCTCTGACATTCTATATTCTAAGATTCCTTCTGGTTTTGGCATTCTCTCTCTATGAATACATGGTCTGGGGGCCTATGAATGAGGTGGGCTCCCAGACCCTCACCCTCCTTTGCATTAGAGATTCTATGGTCTTTCAGATGCATAGAAAGCCAGAGCCCTTCTCTTCTCACTACCTATTGTCCATTCAAGACTAAATTTAATGCCTGGCACATAGTAGGCGCTTTATAAATGCTTATTAACTGATAGGCAAAAAAAAGTATGTACCTCTTTTGTGTTGTCAAAGAATTTAAACTAAGAGGATACTCATTAATTAGGGAGGGCTGAATAAATTAAGATATATGAATATAATGGAATATTACTGTGCCATAAGATTTTATTCCATCAAGATTCTTGATGATTTTATTCCATCAAATCTTCTTGAGGCCAGATTCTAAAGGCCTTGAATGCCAGGCTAAGAATATGGTTTTTGTTTTAGAGGCAATCCGCAATCAATCTGTCATTGATGGAGATGACAGACTGACTCCAGGCTGGATCTAAAACCTCCCTGCTTTCTTGTTTGTCTTTAACATTAAGGACCAAGAGCCTAGGAGCCTTCCCAGGGCATGGTACTTTGAGGGGAGGGGAGGAAGGAAAAGAGACAGAGTGAATGAATGGGATCTATAGGATTCCTGACAGGAACCTCAGAGAAGGGCTTCATTTACCCCATTTCTTATCCTCATCTAACCAACTCTTGCTTAAGTGCATCAGGTCAGAGGAGAAGTCTGAAAGATGGGAGAGAGCAGGCTAGGCCAAGCAAGGAGAGAGGGACTCACCCGTGGGAAGAGCTGGTGTCCCCAGGATCAGGAGAAGTGGCAGCCAGGGCTTTGCCATGGCCCAGCTCGAGAGGTAAAGACACTGCAGCTGTAGCTCCCTAGGAGGTGGGAGGCAGGATGGCATGCCACGGGTACCCACAAAACTGCCTTCCGCACCACAGACCCAGCTGCAACTAAGCTGCTCAAAGACAGAGATATTTCCCAGGACTTGACTAACCCCTCCCTCTAATCTGTTTCTACCCTTTCCCTAATCCTGTGCTTGGGAACCCCAAAGAAATATCTCCCACACTGGGTAGGAATGCCTCCCTGACCAACCCACCAATAAGTCTGAGTGGTCAATTTCTTCCATGTTGAACCCTCCCTCCTGGAATTATGTTCAGCATCATAAGGTCAATAGCATACAGAACTAGAAAGGACCTCATCTAGTCTAATTCCTGCATTTAAAAATTTTTAAATTAAATTAAATTAATTTTAAAATTTTATTTTTAATTAATTTTTTAAAAAATTTAATTTTCAATAAACAAACATTTATTTCTTCCCCTCCCTCTCAATTTAAAATAAAAAGGAAAAATAAAGCCTTTGTGTCAAATATTCAGGTTTAAACAAAATAAGTTGCTACATTGTTCATGTCTAAAAATGTATTTCACACTGCATCCTGAATCCATCACTTCTCTGTCAGAAGGAGGATATCATGCTTGACCATCAGTCCTCTGCAATCAGGGTTGGTCAGAGATAAGTCATGTTTGTCTTTATAATGTTGTTGTTATTTCATAAATTGTTCCTCTGGTTCCACTTGCTTTGCTACATCACTTCATACAAGTCTTCCTAGGTTTCTCAGAACCCATCCCATTTGTAATTTTTTACAGTGTTCCATTATATCAGCTCCCTCATTTTATAGAGCAAAGGTTCCTAACCCTTTTTGGTCTTTGTACCTCTTGGCTCTCAGTAAACCTTCCAATATTACCTGTTCAATATGAAACATTCTAGAGTTTACCAGACATATGTGCATAAGAATTAAAATAGAGATATCAATGAATGTTTTACAGAGAAACATTATTTGCTATGTAACATTTCTTTTTTTTTTTTTTTTTTGCAATTGGGGTTAAGTCACTTGCTCAGGGTCACACAGCTAGTAAGTGTCAAGTGTTTGGTCTGAGGCCGGATTTGAACTCAGGTCTTCCTGACTTCAGGGCTGGTACTCTATCTATTGTTCCACGTAGCTGCCCTGTAACAATATTTTTAATATCATAAAATTGTCAGTGTTCATCAGAACATGGTCAAATAAGTTAGTGAGGCCTCTGATTCTGTTTCTTATCAACCAACAGTTTTATTCCTACTATATGGTTTTTGAAAGAGTTACCAGTACATATCATGTTCAATTTCCAATTTGCTTCTTGCTTTGGATTTGATTGAGAA